TACCTCAATGTTTGGCTAGCTTTTTGGTATTACTTTCATTGGAAAAATGTTGAACAACAATTTAGTTTACTTAAAAACTAGTGTTCACTAAATTTCAGACTGATTATGAAACTTTATATCATACCAAAGAATTTTCATTTAATTTTCTGATGATAGTGTTTATTAAAGTTATTTGATTCATTGAAACAAATTTTAATTTCCATAAGTCGTAAATTCTATTTTTTTTTCTAAGATCATAGTAATAAATTTTATCTCAATCAATAATTTAAGTGAGACTGACTGCTGTTAAAAATAAAAACATTTTGAACTATAAATCAAAAGTTTCTTCTTTTCATAGGTTTTTAATATACCTTTATATATATGTATGTATATATATATATATATATATATATATATATATATATATTATATATATATATATATATATATATATATATATATATATATATATATATACACTTATACGCATGTGAGTGTATAAATTATTCAGAAGTTTTCAAACCACTAAACCATCTATCAGCAATTAGATATTTTGAAAACTAGATAATATCCAAAAATGAAAACCATATTACAACTGTTATAAAGATTTTGTCATTAGAACATTAATTAAGCTTAGGTAATTAAGTAGTATCGAGCTATCACAATATGGAAATTTCCTTTGGAGAGCTGCATTTTCAAATTCACTAATAAAATTTATTAAATTTAAATAAGTTTGAATGTGATAAACAGCTTATGTCATATAGAGCTTTTGCTATGTCCTTAAAATAATTTACACATCTTTAATTAAAAAAAATATATATATATATACATATGAGATTGCTACTTTGTCTTTTATTTTCTTCCTTACATTTATTGACAATAAAATATGATATTTTGGAAATAAAGATGGATTAATATTTCTCTTTTTACTAAAAATATTCAGTAATACTCTGCGCTGATCGAAGCCATAATATAAATATGAATTATTTAAAATAATTTAAATTTAAAATTATCAGAGTATCTTCCTTAGTTTGTTATTAATAGTTGATTATGTTTACTATTCAAAAGAAGTACTGTTTAAATGACATCTGACTGCCTCCCTTGTATGAAATATTTTAATATGTTAATTCAATTTCATTCATCCTTAATCATTTAACTTAAAAAATAATCTTAGAAACGGAAATAGCTTTATTTTTTTAATACAATAATTACATATTTTATTTTTGTGAATAACATTTAATCTTATTCACAAAAATAAATTGTTTGTTTGTCCTTTTTGTAATTGAATCTTATCTTTTATTAAATTATATGAAAATGTTTAGTTTTATATCATGTACTTGTATGATTTATTTATATTAATTTACTTAGTACGAATAAGAGTGTCGAGTTTCTTTGGTATTTGGAACATATCTTTTATAACAAACCTAATAAATAGAGTCAATGATCTGTATGTTATACATTGCATCAAACTAGATTTTTTTTTTTTAAATGTATAATTTTATCTGAACACTGTGATGTTTGGTTTTAGTCCCAATGCATTTTAAAAATACATGATGGAACTATAATATTTAAAAAATATGAACCAAAATAATGTTTCTACATCATCATTTTAGGACTATTCTAATAATGTTATACTTATTAATGTTTACGCGCAGTTAATATTTCTCAATAATTAGACAGTTTTGTATAAAATTTATTTTTACATTGCAACTTGATAAAAAATGGTATCAACCTTCAAAAAAATATATTATTATTGGATTTCTCATTTAAAAGGTATATCAAATAGAAAAAAAAATTTATATTTAGCCATCAATGTTGTTTGATATAAGATTTCAAGTGCCACTAAGTCCTCTTTTAAATACTAAATTTGCATTGATCACAAATAATTTCTGCCTTTATTATAAAGTAAAATTGTTCTAATATAAGTATGCACCGTAAAAAGCAGAATGAAATAGTGAAAGTTTAAATAATAAAAATTATACATTTGCTGTACATAATATGTAGTCATTATAAATCTACATTTGCCAATTTTTATAATGCCTGTTTTCTTACATTTCTAAATCTTGATCACCATATAAGTAATATATAAAGATTAACATTTGTTTTCTCATTATAGGTTTATCATCAATGATTTTAACAATGGGCATATACAGGAAGGGTAAGGTGGGGGAGTGCCCTCCCTTCTGACATAGACAAAATCATAGTAAAGTAGCTACAAATATGAACAATAAGTTTCTGAAAAATTGGCAATGGTTGATAGCTAATATTTCAAAATTTTAAAAGAAATTATTTAAGAAAAAAAAGAAGCCTTGTACATGAAATAAAATAAAATTTAGAAAATTTCTCTCACAATTTTGTTTGAAGTTCTCTTGGGTTTAACTTCATTGAAAAAAAACAAGAAAAAAAAATGAAAATTTATGAGATCCCTCTTATTCATTTATTTATATTTCTTAGTGGATAAACATAAATATGACTCAAGACATCTTATTAATACTTAGAATTTTTTTGGATAAGAGCTAAATACTGTTCAGGGACTTAGTTATTTAGGAATTTATTTCAGTATCAATCAATAAGTTTCCGTTATTAAGATTTCATTGGGTCCAATAAATAATAATGCTTTTAGAAAGTATTTTATTATTTCTGATCAATTATTAAATTATTTTTGTGATAAACAATATCATAATGCATAATATTTAAGATATAGTTAAGTCATAGTAAACTATTTAAATTTTTGGGAGGTAAATATTCTTCCAATTTCTTCCTCTTCTTGTATATTCCTTTTAGTGCCTTTCACCATAGGACTACATAGAGAGTTAGGACTACAATTCCTGCATAGGTACTAGGCATACTCCAGGTATGATGTCCTTTGGCCTTCTCATCCCATTTCCCTCTACTACTAGGGACATAGTCTATGGTCTTCCATTCTGATTAGTTGGCCAAATAATTTCAACTGCTGTGATTAAAATTTTTTTTTCTTCCAGGTGACCTTGAGTCCTTCTTGATCGTTTCATTATGGATGCTATCGCTTCTAGTTTTACCTTCCATTTTGGGGGAAAAATTATTTATACAGTCATGAATGTTCTCTTTTCCCCTCTCTCTCTCCTCCTCCATTATTATACAACTTTCAGCATCATATATGGAAAAAGGTAATTACAAGGCATGTCCAGAAAGTAAGAGTACTCATTTTCCCTATTAAAAATTACAGTATATATATTACTTACTTTTTCATGTATTCACCTTCCCATTCTCTATGATGAGAATTCTTTCACCATCTCCTTTGTCCACTTCAAGACCTCTTGTTTCACCTCTTAATTGGTTGAAATTTTGTTTCCATCTATGGTAGTCTTCAGGAAAATGAAAAGATGAAAGTCTGAAGGGCCATCAACTCAGAGAAGTATTCAGGTGGTTCACAATGTCCCTATCACATGAGTTCAAAAGTCCTTTTGTTGAGTTGGCGGTGTATGGACGAAGTTGTCATTCACCAAACACACTCCCTTCATCACCATTCCCTATGGATTGTTTTGAATTGCTCTCTTGAGGTTTTTTAGGGTCTCACAGTATCATACTTCATTAATCATCTCTCCCTAAGGCGAAAATTGGATCAAAATGATCCCTTTTTGGTCCCAAAATATGGATGTAATGATTTTTTTGCCTGAAATTGAGGTTCTGTATTTTAGCAGATGGGGAACCGGTGTGCTGCCATTATGATGATTCATTTTGTCTCAGGAAAGTAATAAACTGTTTTGATCCATGCAAAATTTCAGTCAATATTTTTCATTCTATGAAAAGGAACCTTATGATAGCACTCACTTTGCACTTATTTGGATTTCATATTGACATATTTCACAGAAATGGACATTATAAGGCAAATTTGGGTACTAACGAGGATTTGTCTGTTGTTTTTTGGGCAGAATCCCAACTAATACTCAGTGTTGTTAACTTTTTGAAAACAAAATTCCCTCAGCACGATAGTCCAACCCTACTCTTACTATCTAGACTTGCCTCCCATACAGACCCAAACTAAACTTTTCTGTTTCCTCTCTGTTATCTTTACTCACTATATTTTTCTCACTTCTCAATCAGATTATTACAGATCTGGTTGTAGAATATGTTTGCTATATTAAAATTCCCAGACCTCTGCCAATTCAGCCTGGGCATTCCTTTTTTTGAATCTTGATATATAGACTTAATAGCATCCATTGGACTCTTTGGAATGTTCTTAACTTTGAACACTTTCCATATTTTGTTTGTTTGAAATGAAACTGATAAAAATGATGCTTTAGGGTGGAGGAAGATGTAGTAACTTAAGAATATCTTGATCCCAGGATTTCCCCGAAATATTTCTTAAGTGAGAATATTGTCATATCCTTAGATTAATTTTTTTAGGAAGTGGTGAGATATTACTTCAGCCATTAAAACATCATTTGTTTAAGTTAATGGGTGTAATAATAAATATTACTGGACATTACTTAAAATTTATAACAATGGTTAACAATTTTTTTAAGTTATAAATTTTCAGTTTAAACTTTTAATTTGATACATATCATTAACATCTCAGCAGTATATACTCAATGTATATAAAATTGACCTATATTAATTAGGAATATATACACACACACACACACACACACGCACACACACACACACACACACACACACAAACACATATATTGAGAATGAATTGGAGTAGGTTGAACAAGCTAATATTGAATAAAGAGTTGATACTGAAGAACATAAAAGGATATCTGAAACAAATAAAAGAAGTGATAGAAAAAATGAGTATCAAAGAGGAAGCCATAAACTTCTATAATTTATGAACAGGGAACAGACATATTCTTCTGGCTTTCAATTATATTTCCTCTTTTATTTTATTACTTCAAATGCACCATGACTCAAATTTCAAGTAAATAATAATTCCATATATATATATATATATATATATATATATATATATATATATATACGGGGTTGGAGTAGCCTTGCGGGCTAAGGCGCTTGCAATAGGTAATCAAAGTCAAGCAATGCCGAGCGTGGCTAGTATTTGGATGGGTGACTGTCCACCAAGGAAAGTCACGCTGCCCGTGATTCCACCCCTCTCGGGTATGTAAGGCCCGTCAGCCTACTGGAGGCAACTCACACCGACCGGGCATATGATTGATGACCCTACCTCGTACTTAAATCAGGAATCGGGATATGGTCTAGGAGACCACACTAGCGGTCAAAGATCTTCATGGTCTGTGGTGCCAACGAGAAAAAAAAAAAAATATATATATATATACCGTAAATCGGGGTTACTTTGAGACTAAGGGGTTACTATGTACTAGAGTTTATTTTGAATTTGAAATCACCTGATGGACTGGAAAATTCTTATATCAAAAGGAAAGTTGCCGCAACATAAAAATGTTTTAGGCAGTCATGTAATTTCATATAAAAAATAAACTCAAGTACATAGTAACCTCCTAGTTCCAAAGTGACCCCGGTTTATGGTATATAAAGAAGAAAAATCATATTAATGTAATGATTTCTTAAAAAAGATTTTAGGAATGTTATAGTAAGGTTGTGCCTGTACTGTAAACAAAGTTTGTAAGTTCTTAATTTATCTACTAACATTTTGATTAATTTTTAATGCCAAAGCAAAGTGAAAAGACTGAGTTGCTGGATTATTTGGTTTTTAATGCTTCATTAGAAACCATGAACGAAGAATCAGATGATTCAGAATGCATGAACTTGATGAATACATAAATGAAATCCTAGCTTTCTTTACATTCCATTTATGTGGATATTGGACACAAGCAAGGAAAAAAGAATCAAATACATCAAAACCTCACAATAACCTTCTCTATACGTTTATGAAGTTAGCAACTTTACAGGACCTTAGGCTGCTTGAAATCGAGAGTGCTACAGGCTATATTCACATATCATAAATAATTTTCTTGACTTAACACATTTATGAGGTTTACAATAATTAGCACTGGTTGCATGGATACCCGTTTTATAAAAATGATTATAGTAAAATTATTATTTAATTAGGACCAGTCTAAAGACGTGTACTAACTAGGCCGATGTTGGCCATCAAAACTTTGATCACCATGTTGGCCACCAAAGTTTGATCTTCAACAGGTTGGTCTCTCATCCACAACAAATTGGTTGAATTGAATCCCTTCATCAAGAATTCAATTTAATTAAATTGAACTTGTTTTAATTAAATCTCAATAAGGTTACTACCATTTTTCGCTTTATTAATACTTATTTTTATAAGGTGTATTATAATAACAACTGTGATAACTGTAAATTTATTACTATAAAATAAATTATTAAAACAATGACAAAACCCTAGTATTAGTTTTATTACTCACACACATATATATATATATATATATATATATACTTACATTTCATTTTCTTCAGTTGTTTATTATTTCATTTATCAAAATTTAAATAATATTTGAAGTGGTGTTAACTTTTCTTTTTTATAATTTCAGCCAAAAAAAAAAAAAAAAATTATAGTCACTCAGTTATTTGCTATTAAGTTTTTTAAAATCCCATTTTCAGTTGTATTTTTCTAGATAATAATTGAATTTCAGCACTCCATCAGAGGGGATGGGGGTACCTTTTATATCTGTTTTAGATCCCTTGAGCAGGATTATGGTGTTTTCGAAGAAGTTTTTTTTATATTATGATTTTTTCATTTTAATCTAAGTAAAATCTTTTTAACATTTTTTTACCTGATATCATGAAATAATTTTCTATTTGTTTAAATAATATGAATGTAGGATAATGAATTAAATAGAGTTTAAGTTTTTTATGTGTCAGAATTCGTAAAAAAAACAACTAATTTATTTGAAACTTGTATATGCGGTTTTCCGGAGTTAACTTGATGAGAGAGTTTCAAATAAAATTATGATATATTTGCGTGAAGGCTATACATTAAATTGTGTTTCTTAAATGTTAACATTTATTTGCAATATAACGTTTTTCATTTATAAAAAAAAATAATACAAAACTATTTGAGCTCAGTTAATGGTTCATTATTAAAGTTTTTTGTTTGCAGTGGCCGATTATAAAAGCTGAAACCTCTAACTTGAGTTGATGAGCTAAGTATTCTTCAAGTGCATGTTGTGAGGTCGGGACTTTGGTTGCAAAAGGGAGCTACATAGACTTCACTTTTAAAGCCACAGCCACCTTTATATCTATATGTTGCAGGATGATCTTCATTTGCTTTCTTCCTTCTCATCCAGAACTACCCCATATAATATAATTAAATTCAACAATATAAATTATGATAATCCATTTGAACTATTTCACCAATGTATATACATCAAAATATCCATCAGCCTTCCAAGTACATACATCGTACTTAATTAGTAAAACTCACAATCTCAAGCATGTGAGAGCTAACTACTGTTCTCTACCACTGCTTTAATATTTCTTAAAACAAAAAATCATTATTCATCAATATATAAATATATATTGTCCTCCCCTCTACATTTTGGCATCTCCAATTGTATCAATGAGCAGTTTCAGTATGAAAGGTTGTTTCCTTGGCATAACAATACCATAAAAAGATTGGGTAGATTTTTTAAGTATTTTCGACATATCCAACCAGTTTATATCAGTTTTTTACTCTTCTACAGCCTCTCCGAATTGAGTTAGTATTTGATAAGTGCCTTTTGGGGTCTCAACTTTTTTCTCCTACTCTCCATATATTACAAATTTTTTTATTGGTTTTTAAGGTTTTGCTTACCTCTATGTTCCCTTTAATATAGGATTGACAATTTGTATGTAAATTGAATTGGTGTGAGAAAAGTTTCTTGTGAATTCTTAACATTTTCAAACAGCTCTGCCATTATGGTAAACTAAATTCTGTAACAAATTTTAATATGTTTAAAAAAAAAATGTGACTAAAAAATTTAGCAGTTCAATTTATTTTAAAAATTCTATTTGATTTCTTCAGGTAAGCTGTAATAAAACAAATTTCTATCTGTTTTCTGAACAAAATTGAGAGAAAATATGAATTTAGTGATGGTGCTTTGCTGCTCACATTTTTTTTTTTAATCAGTTTGGTTCAAGTAACTAGATATATTAAGTAAATCGTTCAAAATAACAATATTATAAATAGTCCATATTGTTATTTGTATTTGGAATTATTTTTGTCTAGCTCTATTCAAGAAATACTATTTTATAATCATCTTTTTCATTTTTTCTAATTTTATTATATCATAAAAAAAATCTTGATATTATATTCTTTTATACTCTTGCTATCCTTGCAGTTCACACTGTTTAAATTACATTTTTTGTTGTTTACCAACAAAAAATCTGACTTCAACCAAGGCCAATCCTCATTAAAAGTAATTAATTAAGTTTGTTGCCATCTGCTGGCCAAGATTTGCTTAGTGCACATGGGTATTAATAAAAACGTTAATTAGATACAAAGATTAATAAAACAATAGATAATAAAACTTTAATTATATTGTTTTTGAAGTATTCCTATTTTCATATAATATATAATTTATATTATATATTTTTTTAAATACACAGTTTTACATATTAAGGCATATAGTAATAATCATAATATATTATCAAAATAAAATATGGTGTATATGCTAAAAGTTAGAGAGAGGATGGACCAAAATAAAATCATTATAAAATAAAAACACAATATTTTGATTATCTTTTGTTTAATTATATCATAATCATTTAGGGAGTTTAATAGAATTATAATTATATATGAAAACATTTCCTATATTTTCATGATCTTAAATATTACTTAATCTTTTGAAAAATAATCTAGCTATGAAAGCTGATTTATTTGTTAGTTTTTATATTATAATTGGATATATCACATACCTCATTATCCAAGATAATTTAAGATCATTAATATAAAATTAATAATATAACAACAGCCGTGTTTCCACACTTAGCTTTCTGGTGATAATAATGCCTATAAAATTCTTGCAATTTAAACTAATTTTAATTCTGATTTTGTCTAATCTATTATATTTAACATGTTAGATGTTGAAATCAAATGTTTGACCAAGACATTTTGCATCATGAAAATGAGTAGCATTAGACTAGCTTTTTAAATAAATGTTTTAGTCTGAAAATTATTTGAAAATTTAAATACACATTGGGAATATTAATGCAATTTGGGTATCACTGAACTAATAAAACATAAAGACTTGTCATTTATTACTTCAATAAAATTTGATTCTATAGGATAGTATTAACTAGATATAATTATTTTACATGTATGTATATGCAAACACACACACACACACACACACACGCGCACACACACACACACACACACACACACACACACACACACACACACACACACACACACACACACACACACACATATATACTTACTCACATAACTATCTTGACCTATAAGTGCTTGGAGACCTAAAATACTTGTGCCAAATAGTTATTTGTTTGAAAATAGAGTGCCTTTAAACTTTTCATAAAAAAATTAAATTTGAATAGCATAATCAAGACAATAGCTCCCTTTTTATTTATTATTATTTTTTTAGGGAATATATGTAATTATAAATAACAAATATTAATGATTATTTATAGTAATCTAAGTAAGTAATTTTGAATTTGTTAGTATTTCTGTGTGTGTGAGAGTGCATCCTTACACATGTCACTTGGTGGTTTGAATAGTTTAATTTTCTTTTAATTAAATGATTAATTGTTGGCTACCTACTTACTTTGTAAGTATCAATCACTGAATGATGCTATATCATTATACCTCTGATTAGCCCATCGAAAGGTGAAATGCCTATTAAATTATGGTCTTATAAATGTACAATAATACATAAACAGATAAATAAAAGTAATCTAAACAATTGATGTGGATGACAACTATTATTATGTGGACTAATAATAAAAATGTTCTTGCTCTTTGAGAACTAAATTTATCGGAATTGATTGGTTTATATGCATAATATAAATCTAAGGGTTGCCAAATATTTTATATTATAAGATATTCTATTAGCTTTTCCTTATGAGTTCATTTAAGGGACAAAATGTCTTTCCAAAATACAAAAAAGTTAAAAGATCTGCATTAACAATTAAATAGGAAATTAAAAATATGTGTTTACTAGCTTTTAAAATGTTTCCTTTTTTAATCTTTTAGCGACAATGAGCGGGAAGGACGGATCGGCCTTGAGGACGGTACTAGCCGACACTTCTCTCTGCCCCTGTGACAGTATACTTTTCATCACCTCTACTGACCACTTTAGCGTTTTCATTTAGGGCATCCTTCCAAACTTTTCTATTTTCCTAATTACTTACTGCTTCATAGAAAGGCTGCGAGATAGTTTGAAAATAGAATTGTTCACTGAACACCCAATTGTTTAATGAGAGAGAGCCTAACGGGCTTCCAATTCATATGTGTGTCCACCATAACCAGAGCATAATCCCGTCGACCCATATATGAGTCCACCGTCGCCGGGACCCGGTTTCCTCTCAATTCATATATATGAGTCCACTGTCATTTAAGGGTTATTCAGTAGCACTTTAAGTAGATAATTTTATTAAGATACCGTTTTAGAGCTTTATAAATATTACAATATTTCATTCTAAAAGTCCACCCTCTTTTGTATTTATTTTAGGGTGTTTTTTTTTAAAGATAGTAATATCATAATGACATGGGAACAGAAATATACTTATCAATAGATTTTTTTAAAAAAATCATGGCTGGGAACCATAGTTGGTTGAAGATTTATAACAAAATGAAAAAAAATTGGAAAATATCTTGTTGGTTTAATATCCACTTTATTAGTTTGATGCAATGTATTTCATAAACCATAAATTTGCACTTACAAGTGTTCATAAATAATAGTTAACACCTATCACATTTGTTAATAGTGCATTTCATTGAACATTATTCCATGTAGATAGGACTCATTTATACCATTTATATAAGAAAAATGAACTGATATATTATATAATTTAATATGATGGTATAAAGCAATACAACTTTAATATTATTGTAAGAATGAATAATCTTAACTTGTGCCTGCAATCTTTCAATAATGTAATCATACAATACCAATTTCATAAAATTTAAGATAAAAATCACTACACTTTTAAATTAAGCTTAGATGAATTTTTGTTAAATCTTATAAGAGTTTATTCTTTCTACAAAATAATCATTTACAAAAAAACATATTTACTACTAATTAAGGTTAATAATTATATTTACCATTTATATATTTCATTTTTAAATGACTTGTTGATGTATATAGAAATTACCTAGTAAAATGTTATATTTTATGTTGTTATATGTTTGAGTTTGTTATTTATTTACTGGTTAAATGCCTATAAGTTTTATATTCATAAATGAGAGTATACAAATGAAAATGAGAAGATGGTAAATAATGATAGAGGCAAAAAATAAGAAAATATAAAGAAAGAAAGAGGATTAAAAAAAAATAAGATGAGAAATAGATATTCTCTGAATAATTTAAATTACAGCATAGTTATTAAGATATATATCCAAAGTTCAAAAAATTAATAATTATTGTATTTTGTAATTTTTTATCTTTTTATATTTCATTTATCGGTTCTTGTTTTATTTTATTAATTAAAAAAACAATATAAGTAATATAATTTTTCCATAGAATATATACTATGATCATTTGGTATATGTTGTATATAATGTCCTTATTATTGTGCCTACCATAAAAGCAATGTTAGAACTATTGTTAATAACTGAAAAATAAAATAAAATTGTATCAGACACCAGATAATATCACTCACTCCTTCCTAATTACATGTAAAACACAAAAATAAAAAACACATCACTGTACAAATTAACAGTTTATATAGTGTTAACTAGAATTACAATGGGAATTGCATATTTGAAGGATGAACTATTATGCATTGCTTGTAATAAGTAAACATAATAATTTTATATAAAATATAAATATATAATAATATTTGTAAATAATCATAAAATGTCTATAAACCTTTGCTGAATACTTACCTTGATAACCAGCCCATAACAAATGTAAAGCTTTACCATGTAGAAAAATTTATTGTTAAGAACAAAGTTGTTTTCCATAGTTGATCTATTGTATAATTTGTTATGCTCTGTATTATTATAGTCATAAAAATAAAAAGCCCATTATTTTGTTAATTTTTTTTTTAAAACCTAAAATAATCCTAAAATATGTAATTAAGATTTCAGACCTTGTGTTTTCTTGAATTTCATTTAAGTTAATTTTTCAAGATTAATGAAATTTTGAATGAATTTCTGGGAGTGCACAGATTTACCTGCATGTAGTTTTTTTTAGTCAATTAAAACCCAATATTGATAACATTGCCCTTATACAAACTTATTTGTTTCTTTTATTGTGTGAAATATTTGTCATTATACTTTTCTTTCAATCTAATTTATCTTTTCTTCCTTATATTTATTTATAATCCAAGTTTTGCATTTATGTCACCACTGATAAGCTTGAAACTGATAAGAGTTCGTATCGTCATACGAGCTCCTAATAAGGGTTATTATCTTTTTAGGGATGTCAAACCTTTCGAGGATTCTCCACATAATGTCCTGATTTAACAAGTTGAAGGCTTTCTCAAAATCGATAAATGCCATATATAGTGGGCTTTGCCACTCGACACTCTGCTCCAGGATGATTCTCAGTGTGTTTGTCAGATCAGTTCCGTTGCACTTCTCCCTAAAACCTGCCTGCTCGATAATCTGATTCAGCACTTTTCGCACAACAGAGAGCAGTGTGATACCACACCAGATCTTACACTCAGATGTGTCTCCTTTCTTCGGAATCTTCACAATTAGCCCACTTTTCCACTCAGCCGGTACTTTTTACTTCTTGAAGGGGATCCATTATTTAGGCAAATGCTTGAGCATCGAATTCCAAAATTTCTACAGGTATGCCATCAATTTCAGGAGCTTCACCATTCTTCATTTCACTAAGGGTGATTATGAACTCATTGAACCTGGGTGGGGTGCTAGTGACTTTTGTGTGTTATATGCCATCAATGAAGTCAATACTATGGACTTCAAGATCCGGCTTACGAAACTGAGGTTCCTCAGCTTCCTCACTGCTTCTGTTTAGTACCATTGAGAAATACTCTTCTCAATGCTTTAGCTGGTCCACTTGAGTGGTAAGGGGGTATCATTGTTGTTCTTAGTTGGTCGAGTCTTTTGGAAACCTTTCTTCAAAAGAGTTCTTGTAGAGTGAGTCGCTGTAGAGCTCATTTGCGCATGATCATTGACCCACTGTCGCTGATCCCCCTGAATGTTTCTGCAGTACTTAAAATTTGTTCCTTAGTTTAATTTTAAAGTTCTATTTTATCTTTGGAACTTTGAGGTTTCTCACGTACAGCCCCTTCATCTTTTTCTCGAGTTTGGTGGTAGCTAATGCTATCTTCATGCAGAATGTAGAAATCTTGAGAAGGTGGTTGCTTCGCACATTGGCCCCTCCTTTGTTCCTCACATCCTCGAGAGAACGTCTAAACTTCCTACTGATGGTGATGTGGTCTATTTGGTTCTCGGTGCTCTGGTCTGTAGAAACCCATGATACCTTATGACAAACCTTATTTGGGAAGACAATGCCTTCTATAACAAGGCACAAAAGTTTTTGAACAACTCTCCATTTTCATTGGCCTGCCCTACTCCATGTATTCTCATTATATGTTCAATTCTCTCGTTATCAGCACCGCCTAAATTCTAAAGAATTCATATCTCTCAAGACGATTACTATTTGGAGTCTTGTGGAGAACATCCATCAAGGCATGATGAAATTTCTCTTTGGTTTCTACTTCAGAAAGAAACATTGCACAACGGTTATATTTCTGATAGTTGTTTTAAGCGGGCAGTCTATCAGAAATCGTCCTACAGTCCATTAGATTTCTTCTAGATGATATTGAGAGAAGAATGCCTACCCCAGATCTACGTTCCGCTCCATCACTCGACTGACCCGAGTATAATAGAATCCCACCATCATTTGCCATCGTTTCGCCATAATTCAACCATCTTACTTCACTGAGACCAAGTATGTCGATTCTATGGCTTGACTTTTCCTTTTCCACTTGTCTCTTCTCATAACGTGTGAGCACATTCCAGTCTCCAATTCCCTTTTTCAGTTTCATGCTAAACGTTGTTGCCTTAGATTCAGTCCTGTTTTCACTCGTATTTGTTTCTGTAATATAGTTTATTTAAGAAATACGAGTTATTAGCCCACAGGTTCCGAGTCAGGGGGAGGGGTTGTCTCCTTAGAGTTCTCTGACCTGCTCCCTCATCCGGGGCAGCTACCTAGGGAAGACATTATTTATGAATGCATTGAACAACAAAAGTGCCAAAGAGTGTCCTAATCTTAGACAGCTTATGTCAAATGTTTCTGTGGTTTACTCATTAATTCTTTGACTATTGACTACTTTTTGGTGGTCAAGATTATTTCGGATAGTTGAGAAGGAATGCTGGAATCTTTTAGAGGATAGTAGAGTTTGCACTGAGATATTGCATTTCCAAAATGTGTTCAGTTAGTGAAATTTTGTATCTTTGCTGTTTCTAGTATATTTTTACTACTTCATCTGAGTCTATTTACAATCTTGTTTCTGGACTTCTATGTAACTTAAAAATATTTGGATGTAGTTCTTTTATCTCATTCCTCATTTTTTATCCTACTATTATTTGACCTATAGCTGCTTTTAATGGTGCATTCTTAAAGTAATTTCCAGCCTTGTCATTTCTTTTGAACCTCTTTGACCTTGTCATGTAGATCTTTCTTGTGCTCTTGATTCCAGATACTCTTGCTATGTCTCATGTTCATTTCAAGATACTTAAGTATCTTTTTTATTGTTGGATGACAATCTTCATCAAATGAAAGGGACTTCAGCTTGAAACCCTCCTCATGCATAATTGAATCATTACCTCAGCATTTATACAGCAACAATACAAACTCTCAGCATTTAAGTATCAACTTCTCCATCCATACCATCACAGTTATATGTAATGTTAAAAAAATCCTGTTTTTTTTTTCACTGGGCATGAATATAAAAACAATAAAATCTCGAAACATCACCAAAATATAGTTGTGTATGGATGAGTCATGAAACTTGTGAAATTAGCATATTTTGACTTTGATGTTGTTTTTTAGATGCCTTCAATTATTATTTAGTAGAATGGCAGGCAAATATATTAACATTTAATTGAAATTTTCTCTCTTATGTTAATGTCCACCAAAATATTCATTTACATATAGTTATAAAACGCAGCCCTAGCTCAAATTGAAAGTAGTGTCAACAAAGCACAAATGTTACTTTCAATGAAAAAAAAAAATGGTAAAATTTTTAAAATTCCTGATTGTTGTGAGGTCATCAAGTATTTAGGTCTCCAAGGAATGATGAAAAAAAGTACTCAAGTATCATACTATTACTTTGTGGAATATTCATATTTTAAGGTGATAATCCTGACCTCTAATCTTCAGTTATATGATATTTCATAATATAGCAGTTTTATATTGGAATCCAGAGATCTTTTTGTCAAATTGAACATAGAATCAAAATCATGGTGAGCATTTTTATTTATTTTCAAGTATATTACCTTATTTTTATCGCTTTCTGTTAATTTCTAATTTTTTTTTTCGATAGGCCAAGGTTCTGATCTTACAGGCAATACGGGCTGCGATAGCAGTGGCGCTTTACACAGGGTATATGCGTATGTCACTGCTGGCAGTACAGGTCTATTTTATTAAAATCTTTAATGTTGTTTAACATTTATTATTTTATAATTGTGATTGTGGGAACTGTGGTGTAGACTTGTGACGGCTGTGCACAAGCCCATATCTTTTTCTTTTTCTCCGTTCTTTCTCCTTCTTCCAGCTGAACCCGGTCCTCGAAGCAGCACGTCCAAGTCCCTTCTTTTCTTCCCAAATTAAAATGTGTATGGCCAATACGGTTGTTGTTTAGGCAACTTTCACAATTATGGAAAAATAACTCGCATGAGTCTCAATAAGGCAACATTCTAAATTTTATGGTAACATTCTAGTTTCTAAGTAGTGAACTTCTTAAGGGATCAGTAGGTTAATGATTGTGCAAAAAAACAGCTTACCGTCTATATGCCAGCCCACATCTTTTACTTGGAGAGCTCTCCGTAGGTGGCTTCTCCTGCTGGAGATGGTGTTTGGCCAGTGGGCGCCGGTGGAATAGCAGATACAACCAGCTCCTCTCAGGGCTTAAGTGTTATCTTTATCTTTTAGATCTGCCTCCACCACTCGCCGTAACGCGGGCTATTTAAACAAAAGAAAACTCCTCTTTGGCACAACCATTTGTAGTAACGTTGACTTAGGAGAAATTCCTGAGGAGTTATGAATATTTTAGTTAACGGCATGAATTTATATTTTTTGATTTCGAAACACTTGTATTTAAGAGATTTAGTGGACGTTAAAAACTAGCCTGAATAGTTTTTTATGACAAACATTTTCTTGGCATACTTTACTGGGATCGTCTTTGAGTTTTTGTAATTTATTTCACATAAGAATTCGTTTAACGCAATTAGCAATATTATTTTCTAATATTACAAAGAAATATATTAAAAAAATCGATTAATATATAATAACTTAAAATCCATACAGAGAAAAATAAAAAAACGTTAATATAAAAAAAATAATAAAATTGAATAAAGTATTTTTCCTCGGCTTCTCGCAAGAACTCTTGAGCGTGGGTCAAATATTAGTAGTATCCAGTGTTGCCGTTTGTACGAGGATCCTCGTATTTGTACGAGGTTATGACGTAATGTACGAGATACAAGGATAGACCAGCCTCGTACCTCGTACATAACTTTTGCTGAAGTATGCGATGCAAGGTTAAATTTTTATGAATGAAGTTTAGAATTGATTTACAATTATTTTTACTGAATATTGATATGAAATACTGAACTTCTGTTGCTTTCTAGACAAATAAATTGCAATTATATCTTCTTTAATTAGAGTATGATTATCATTTCATCCATAAAACCATGATTCTATATACATGTTTTTTTTTTTAATTTTCTAGAACATAAAATTAAAAAAAAAAAAGTTTAGATTTTATCCAGTATAAAATAAAATATAAGAAACTATATCCATTATTTCCTTCATAAAACTTTTTTTGTAAATATATATTTTTTAA